ATATAGGAGGTCGATCAGTTTTTTATACCTTGTTTGGCCCAAAAGGCTGATTGAAGTACTGAAAATAATAATATGGCTGTTCATCGCTAAAACAAATTTCTAATGTGACGCTAATAATGAACTTTTAATAGATTAATCCACTTTATAGTCCTTTAAAAATCTCTAATTCCCCTCTCAATAAATCAACTGCATTGTTTTCTTTGTAAACATTTACTTTATTTAGAGAATTTTTATGACTGATTTTCCAAAAGTCTATTTTTTGGTAAAAGTCAGTAAAGATCTGCGGTTCTTTGTACCATGAAATGAAAAAAAAAAACTATGAGATTAATTGTAGCCAAAGGTTTATTTAATATTGCTCATTTTGAGAAGTTTATTTTCATCTGTTTTGTTGTTAAACCTAAAAATGACTAAAAACAATAATCATAAAATTACACCATTGTTAAATTGCAGTCATGGTCTGCACAAAATCACTCCAAAGACCGCAAATGGTCTTTAGGCCTCATAAACACCCCTTGTCTGGACAAAGATTATTTAAATATACAAAGAATCTATTTAAACATTATCCAGAGACATTAAGCATTTTTGTCCGATACTCTGATGTCTGTGAGGAAACGAGTCTGTTCCTTAAATATAAACAGAAGCTAGTCAAATAAACTGCTTTTATTTCCTTGTGTTAAATATTTTTTCTACAGAAAGAGACATTAATTTTTCCATTTACTTCTGGATTTTACTGAAGGATTTTTCCTTTGATTAAATCTGTGACAGGAGCCGATCAGCGGTGAGGAGGAGGGCATGACCACAGATATAGCTCACATGTTGGGCCTGGTGGACCCGTGGTACGAGCGCAACGTCCTCAGTCTGCTCAGCTTGTCCTCTGACGTGCTCTGTGAGGTACATCTCACACTTGTAGCTTCAGCTTTTTTTTCCCAGTATGCACCATAATTCCAGAGGAGCTAAGAAAAGGTCAAATCAAACGTGGTTGTTTCCTCACACTGCTCTGTTTCAAGGATCTATGAGGATTTATTCCACCCCCTTCTGCTTCTTTGGAGATAAATCAAATGAGATTTCCATTTAATGAGTGGTGACAAGTTTTAGATTAGAGGTTCTGCATCTTTGTGCAAATCGTACCCTCGTCATCGTCTTGTCTTCTCCCAGGCTCCTTCCAAGGATGAGGACGCCTCGGCGAGCTCTGGCAGCGCCGAGCGTCTTCCCCTGCTGGCCGACTTGGTGCTGTATTACTGCAGACACGCCAACAAGCCCGTCCTGGTGCAGCTCTACCAGGCCGAGGTCAAAGAGTCACGCATGGGGAGGGCATGGTGAACTTTAATCAGTGCTCAGACTATAATCCTGTTCCTTTCTTCTCACAGCTGACTCTGGCTGGGGGGGACAAGAGAAGGGAAGTGTTCATTCACACCTTGGAGCTGGGACACACGGCTGGAACCAGAGCCGTCAAGGCCATGGGTTAGTCCCGCTCTGCAAAGTACGTGCAGTTGAATACATCAACGAGTAGGCTAATCTGTGTGGGATTATTTCTGAAGGGGCTGCCAGCAAAAGGTTTGGGATTGATAAAGAACGGGAGGCGGTGCCTTTAAAGCTGAGTGTCGCCTACAACAAGGTAGTTACCTGCAGAAAGAGATGTTTCTCTGTGGAGCAGCAGAACTAACCCCATCTCTCCTGACCACAGGTGGCTGTCAGCGGGAGGAGTCAGTGGATTCAGACAGAGACGGTCTGCACCTCCATTAATCTTCACAAAACATGCAGACGAGTCGAGGAGCTCGGTCAGTAAAGCTAAAAGTGTCGTAATGAGCTGCAACAAGCTGAAGACATAGACTTTTTAAAAAAGTTCTGAATTTGCATCACTTTTAATTTGTACTTATGTTTGTGTACGTATGTGAACTATATTAAATGGTCTCAATTAGATTGGGGGGGTTGTTCATTAACGAGGGAAGAGTGGAGCGTGACATTGACAGATGGATCGGTAAAGGTTCTGGAGTAGTGTGTAGTGAACCAGATAACCTCAAATATACCAGATGGACAGAGACTGTTATTTTCATTGATCTGAATAAGTCTGAACCATCTGATGAACTTTCTTTCTTGAATTAATCAAGCAGAAAAGACAATCCTTTATAATCATTGCTGTCTTACAAATGTTTTGATAATCAAATTGTGTTAGTTCACTCAATGCTTTACAGGTTGAAAAGAACTACTAATTTTACTTTACATAAACAGTAAGTAATGATTTTTGTTCCTCATTCAGAGAAGAAATCACCTGAATATGCCTTTCTTGATTTTCTGTCTGAAATGAGCAAGCTGTCGTAAGTATGTTAAAGGTTGGTTTTCGGTCAACTAAAATGTTTACCGAGAAAAATGTCATGTTTTACTATTTGAAAAGATTACAAAGTGTGAGACTCCACGAAGTCTGCTGTTGCTGCAATAATCTTTTCTGTATGTTGTAAACAATCCTTGACTTATGATAACATCTTACGTCACAAATCCACTCCTCTTTCTGGTCCTTCCACGAATCAGAAAGCTCTAAATTGAACAGGAAGTCGACCCAAATAAAATGTGGCAACTTCTCAGTTCATGTTAGAGTCTGGGAGAATGAGAAGAATTATGAATTCCAGAATTCCAAGAGATTGAGAGTTCTGGAGAATGTGAGAGTTCAAAGATTGAGAATGCAGTCGGTTCTGAAAGCTTCAGAGCAATGAAGAATCCAGAGGTTTTTTGGGGATTATAATTCTGTTTTGAGCTAATCAACGCACGACTTTCTGAAGGTTTGGTAGCTCTCGACGGAGACGCTGAAACGAGTCAGAAAGGAACTACATCCAACGCTGATTCATCGTCAACAGGTAGATGGTTCTATTTTGACCAAGTGTACCGTGAGAAGCTGAGATCGGACGGAGCGTGCAACTTCTGGTTAAACAGATTAAATCTCCCTCACATATTCCTCTGTAAGATAAATCTCAATTTACTCTTAAACTCACCTCTCTCTCATAAAACAGTACAGATATTTTTAGAAATGTCTGAAGCAAAGTCCTCAAATCACCGCCGAGTGATTTGAAGTTCATTTTCTGTGAAACTGTCTGTTATTATTTTCATATTTTGCCAAATTAATGTAAATGTTTGATGTTAAACTTTGATTTTGAAAATAAATGATTCCATTCATTTGATGGGTCAAAGATAAACAACGTCTCTCGTTACATTTCTGTTAAACTCAATGCACGACATTTACAGTCAGAAAAATGAAGAACTCGTGAATATTGTATGCATATATAATTCATATATTTGTCATACAACAAGTGACACGTACCTCACGTGTATCACTACAAACTGGTGGCCTCGTACGGATTTCATGAATGACTGTTTAATCCGTGTGTAAATTGATTTTACGTGTTGGCATGGTGAAAGAGTAACAGCTGATGAGCTGT